GAGAGAGAGAGAGAGAGAGAGAGAGAGAGAGAGAGAGAGAGAGAGAGAGAGAGAGAGAGTGTGTGTGTGTGTGAGAGAGAGAGAGAGAGAGAGTGCAATAGCCCATGTAGTATGCCTCGTGGAAAAGTCTAAGGGCCTTGCAGGCCGCACTCAGACCCAGGCCAAAGGGGAAAAGAACCCCACATAAAGATTCAGGGTTTGGAAGAGTGACAGTTGACTGAAGTCAACTATCGGATACCCAACAGTCAAAGTCAAAGTGTACCCAGCCTTGGCCGCCGGTCAGACGCACACCATTGTTTGTATGTAGGTACCCAGACAGCATCAGGACCAAAGGGAAGACTATAACTGTATACAATCCAGACCCTCGACTGTGAGTCAATTTGTACGACTGAGGGAAGGAGACCTGAGGCCAGACAGCCTCGTCAAATACTACATGAGGCTTGGTCTCCAGGGGGTCAACATTCAATCTTGCTATGCTGCCTCGACGCTTGCTTGACTCTGGCTGGTCGCTGGCTCGACGCAGGCTGGATGCTGGCTTGATGCCAGTACTGCGGACGACGACGCGGGACTGTGGTAGCATGTTGGCGCTTTCTATGCTGCGCGCTGGGCCTTGCCGACATGGCACTGCCACATGTCTACCTTGCCGATGTGGCACTGCCACTTGTCTTCATTGCTGATGTGGCGCATGCCACTTGTCTACAAGGCTGATGTGGCGCATGCCACTTGTCTACATTGCTGATGTGGCGCTGCCACCTGTCTACATTGCATTGCTGATGTGGTGCTGCCACTTGTCTCTACTGCTGACGTGGCATTAGCCACATTGTCTACATGAGGTGACTGGTTGCGACAAGGAGGGAGATCGGGATCTGTGGATGATAGGGAGTTGGTAATCACCTGAGGTTGACGTCGATACCTGTTGTCTTCATGGTCTCCAAGAGATGATAGTGCCACGTGGCACTTCTGTGTGATCAGGACTTATCAAACTTGTTACTGTATATTGATTGTTGACGTGGAGGTGAGGGGAAACCCGGAGAAGGAGTGGGAAACAATTGGGTTACCTCTTCCACCTTCTCCTCTGTCTATTCCCCCTCCACTCTCTTCGTACATTGATAACAAGTTATTGTTTCAGATATGACTTTCACGGTAACTGGAGACATTGTGCATATCTGAGTCTACTTGTGCTTCGGCGTCTGACGAGTATCTTCCAGTCTGGGTTCATTAAAATTTTGTATTGAAGCATACCTCCTTCATCGCGATCTGTTGTCAGGTGCTGACGTGGCACCCAGGTAAGTGGGAGGTGTCGCACGTGCAGGATCGAAACGCTTTTATTAATGTGCGCGGTTAATACCGCAGGTCTAGACATTGAGAACCGCATGTGTGTGCAGCCTCCCTTGAAGGTGATGACGTGGCTACACCGAAGACTTCGAGATACCGGCGAGAGCTTCGTTGGCAACAGGCTAACGTGGCGATGGTCCAAAGAGAGAAAGTGTGAGATTGGGACCGCTGATGTGGCGCACTGCCTACATGGCATGACGTGGAGATGCTGATGTGGCATTCTCTACTAGCAGAGCATCGTCTGATGTGGCACGTACCTGTGTTGTGATTGCCTGCTGATGAAGCGCTACATACTATGAGCTGTTGTGGCATGCTAGTGTTATATGTGTTTGCAAACGTGCGTTGCTGACATGAC